ATATAAAGGCATGCTAAATATCTCATAAATTCGCAGCTAAACTTTGCCACTTGAATTAAAAAAAAAAAAAACAAAACAAAATGAAACAAAATCAAAAGTCAAGAAATGTTATCAAAAGTCTAACCTAATGTGAGCAAGTGAATGGGCTGTGAAAGGGTTGCGGGGTACACACACAGCAGGGCTGTGTATGCTGCTTCTTCTTCTCCATTATTTTTTGCTGGGGTGCGCTTCATTTAATTTTATTTGTCTCAAAATTTTAGGCGTCAATTTCAGCTGTGTGCGAGTGTGTGTGTGTTTGGCTTTTTGTTTAGACTCGACGTCTGTTCGACATTTATTTGCTGTTTGCCGTTACAATTGCTGAGCTGCGACTGAAAGTGGCTGTCGGGTATTAGGTCTAAATGGGGTATTACAACATTCAAAACAACAACAACAACAATAGCAATCAAAGGAAGTGACTGAAGAACAATGGGAAGTGCTGTCATATGATATGGGAGTCTGTTCTCTTCTCACTCCTCAACTCCTCTCTCCTCTCTGCTGTGATCGCTGCTTGGGTTGTCAACTGTAGCCGATGGAGGGTGTTGCACAAATTAAGCTCGAATGAAAATTAAACGATGCATGAAATTACTTTGCTGCTTCCTCTTCTTCTTCTGCTGCTGCTGCTGCTACTGCTTTCTTCTCTGTCTCCTCTTCAACTTGTCGTGCTGGCTCTTGTTGTTGGCCGTTTCAACTTTGGCTTTGGCTTTGCCACTGGCTACGCCTTTGATGGAACCCCTGGTTGGCGAGGGGGAGGGGGAGCTCGGGCGCAGCTGTTGGCGCTGAAGTTGGAGTCCATGTCGAAGTTGGCTTTTTAATTTTTAATGTGCAGTCGGTTGTTGTTGCTGCTGCTGTTGACTTGAAGCATTTTTGCTGCAGGATAAGGGACACACGCAATTTACGCAGCTAACGGTATTGCGTTCAAAAGGAAACCGAGCCAAAGTAGAAATGTTGGACACACACACACACACATATATATATACACACAGGCTGAGGCCAATTTATAAAGTCAAATGTCAGTAACTACAATTAAGGCGCATTTACTTGAACGGTGGGCGTTTAGAAGTGGGCGTGCTCTAACTGTAGACAGTCGAAACTTGAGTTGATCGGAACACTGGCGTGCATAACAGGAATTGACATGAATTAAGCAATATTGAATAGCTTTAAGTCTGAGTTTAGTAAGTCTTGGCTGCTAGCAGAGTTTATGGAATTGTACTCTACATATTTTACTCAAAGTCGAAAGGGCTAAACATTAAATTAAAGTCAAAGTGAATATTTTTTAAGTTTACCACTTTGTCGCAAAAGAAATTACAGTTTGCGGGCTTTAGCTTATCTCTACCTGCTTTCTATTCGTTCCCATAAATCAAATTGACGCTGTCTAAGTAGCCATCTCGCTCTAACTCAGCAACATCAGGGCTTACGTTCAGCTACTGCAACGTGTGTCTCTCTCTCTGTCTCGCTCTCGCTTTTGGAGGGATAATTGGCGCCTTTAGCTTGAAATGAGAAGAGTACAACTACTACGCAAGCTCATGTGGATAATATTTCTACATATCTCAGCTTCTCTCACTAGTGCAACTGCAATA